AAATGCAGATCATACCCAGTTATTCACCTACTTCATATCCTTCCATGGCTACCCTGGAATCTTCAGGATAAAGTTCAAATACCTCTCTGCACGGCATACAAGGCTCTTCATTATCTAGACCCTAACTACTTCTCCACACTCACCTCTTGCAATGATTCTCACATCTCACATTCTTGCTGAACCAAACTTCTTGTGGTTCCCTAAACACCTATATGCTGTTTACCCTCCCTTGTTCTTGTATGTGGCTCCCTTCACTCCCTTACCTCATTTTTGTTGGCAAAATTCTACTTTTATTTCAAGATAACGCAATTTTTATATCCATTTTGCAGACTTAGGTGCTGCTTTCTCTGTGCTAGCTTGTCATCTTGCACTTTTTTTCATTACAATAATTATTACATTTGATATCTTACCTGTCAGGTAAGTTTCTTGAGGGCAGAAACCATTTCCTATTGGTCTCCATATATTCAGTGTATGTCCAGAGTGTAGGGTATCATTTTGCCCATACATTTTGCTCATTTCCACCTCCACTAACACCTCTGTTCTCTGTCTCAGCAGAGGGAAAATTTATCTTACCTCCTTCAACATTTGGCTAAAATGCATTTTATCCATTAAATTTTTCCTGATTACATTTACTTCACTCTAAACACGTCTTCATTTTGTCATGTCCTCAGTGCTTGGAGAAGACTTCTCCAATAAACATATTTGTGCTTCAATGATTTAGAATGCATTCTTTCTTTTAGCTAGACCACTCTGAAACATTTCAGGATCATCTGCTGAAATAATCTATTAGCAGTGATTTTAAAAATTAATTTCTGTTAAAACACCTGTTTTTATGCTTGGAGAAGCAGCCAGACATCGATTCTTGCCCTTCCCAAACCAAATCATCACCTTTCAGTGAGCAACAGGAGCAGAAAGGGGAGAACACCAAGCCACCTACAGTTTGAACTCTAAGAGAAAGACTTCTAAAAGCTATTGAAACGAAGACCAAGTAGCAAGACAGAAATCTGAAATTTCCCAAACTATGGAAATGCCTCTCCCTCTTTTACAACTTATCTCCTTTCTTTCTTCTTTCTCTTAATGCTAAAAAGCATTGACACCCAACTCTTAAAAAGGCTTGAGAAGAGCCAGAAAGAAACTGATCTGCCCACAGAGCTTCTGGGATGGGCTAACTCATTGTACTGTAGCAGTTCTGGATGGGAGGAAAAGAGGTAGCACACAAAATATCCAGGAAAGTGCTTGAATATGCTCAGTGCCCTAAAGGCTAACAACAAGACTAAGTAAAAATGGAAGGGTTACACTGCATTCATTTGTACTCCCTGTACTGCACGCTGCTTTATAAATACTCCTCTTTTTCACTAGACACTGTGCTTTCCCTAGCTAGACTCAAAGTTCCTGGAGGCCATCAACAATACTTCTTTTGTAGCCCTGAAATTGCTCACCACACTGAGTACATAGTGTTTGCTCCAGGAATGTTGACTAATTATGAAGTATTTACCTATTTTTCTTCCCCTCAATATTTTCAGGAATGCTAATTACTCACAAAACTGTGCAGTCTTGGAAGCCAAGAGGAAACAGTCATCTGTTGGTATACATTTTGCTTTAGCTATGCATTAAACAGAGATTTCCTTTGGAAATATAAACAAAGGATGCCTGATGAGACAGGACAAAGAACTATATATAGAGATCAAGTGGACAGAGGAGCAAGGTCAAAGCATGCTTTCCTTAACCAGGTTAATGGAGTCCTGGGTCTGCCTCGACCTCCCTCCCATGCTCTGAAGCTCCAACAGAAACATTCCCAGCTGCCTAGCCACTGAATTCTGAAAGCGGGGCAACATCTCCAACAGGCTGTATTACCAAAGAACTCAGTTAACAAATCTGTGGCGATCCTAATCTCTGCTTCTGTAATAATAGGAAGACTGCAGCTTTGTTTACTTTCTGAGGAGAATAGAGAACAGGGAGAGAGAACCAGGAGAGGGAGGCGGTATTTATGGCCCCTTTATGAAAAGTCAATCTGTGACAAAAACATTTGTAGACAATAAGGAAGGGGAACAGGTTTGACAGGAAAATAGCCTATTCCAGTTTTCTCAGAAGTGCCTTACTTGGTATCCTCCACCCCCACCCAATGTGAAATGCCTGGTTTACACTGTGCATATAGTCATTCCCTATAGATAAATATGGATTCGATAAACTGAAAAACTTTCAAATCACCCTTCGATGTCTGGCTCTCATGACGGACAGTGTGCTGTTATTTATTTCATTTTATAAAGTGTGTATAAGCTTTTATGAAGTCTCTTTAACTGCATTTCTAATGTCAGGGCTTGTCCTGAAGCCTTCTGGACACACAGGCTCTGTGCTGAATGAGTATAATAAGTACCCTGGATCCACCCTATCATTATGGGGAAGTTTAGCGCACATCCCTAACCTTTCAGAAGGGATGATGTCATAGAGGACAGCCATGGTCTTCCATAGGCCATCCTGTAGGGCTACTGTCAAAGACAGAATCTTAAACTGAATAGACTATGGAGTAAACTCCCAAAACACACTCTCACCCTTGACATGTAATGTGGTATCTCACGATTTTTTCCCATTTGTTAACATTTTTATTCCATTGTCTATATTTCCTGCACATGTGTTTTCACATCAGGGTGGATGTGGGTAGCATGTAAGCCCTTCAACGGTAAATACTGTGTTTATGCTAATTTCTTTGTACCTGGTACAATGTCACGCACAGCTATTAGTAAGAGGTGAGCTTTTATGTGCCAGAGCAGACAGGAGCCTACACGATGGATTTAATAAGTATCCCTAAGGGAGCCTCTTAAATACCTCCTTTCCTGGTTCATGGTGTGGCGGCTCTTCCCTCCTGCTTTGCTTACATTTAGCAGCACTAGTGTCATCTCCTGAAGGCTAAGCAGGAATACTAACTTCAGAAAGGCACTGTTAAAACATCCCTGTTACCCAGAGGGCAAGAATGAGTCCTCCGCTGTTAACACAATGATATATTGTGTTATGAGACTAGCTCCTTGCCACCTGAAAAGAGTAGGGAGGGCCCTGAATATAAAGGTTTGATTAGTACAATGGGCTGGGAAAGGTTGGGATAGGGTTATGCTTGGGTGAGGCTGGCCAGAGTGATAAGCTTCCCAGGGGTAGGATAAGATGTTAGGTCCTGAAGTGAACAAGTAATGAAAATAAACTGCTTACTTTCCTAATTTGACTACAACCTGCTCTATACTTACTAGTCTTTTGATGACAATGAGGAAGGTGATGATTAGAATTTCTAACCATGTTTTATTCACTATTAACTGTTACCACACCCTCAATCACACAAATTCTAAACCAAGGGATTCTGTATCTTGTCTCCTGCTTACAATACTTCCTTGTCTCTTCACCAGTGTGGGTTTCTTGTACTATAATCTAACAGCATAATCAGAAGCTTTGATACAGTGGAACATAGAGGGATTCTGATTAGCTGAAAACCACTCTAAAATGCCTTCTGTTTTCTTTCTCCCCCCTTTGGAAAGGATGAGACTGAAGAGATAAAGAAGAGAATAAAGAAAGTAACCATTCACAGACTCATGACCTGTGAAATCTGGGAGAGACATCAAAGGTCATACAGTCAGTTTAACCGCTCATTTTATAGGTAAAGACACTGAAGCTGAGAGGTTAAATGACTTACTCAAATTTATACTACCAGTTAAAGGCAGAATTAAATCTAGAACTCAGTTTTCCAACTCACATTCCAGTATTCTTTCTTTCTATTCTCTATGCTTCTTCCTAAATCCCCTACCCCAATGCACGATCTCGCATCTGCGTTTAACCAGTACCCTACATATGTACCCTACGTATAGCACCACTCTCTTCCACAAATGGAGTATGCAGCAGTGATCAAACTGCTATGGTATGCTCACCATACAAGCACAGTCTACTTTAAGAAACCCAATACTTTAAGATAGCCCCAAAATCACGAGTGGTTACTCATAAATGAAGATTTTATTGCCTTACAACCCCCCCACACACACACACACACTTAAATAGGAATCCTCAGGTGGGACTGAGAGATGAGATCGTAATAAAACTATTTTACTGTTTAAAATAAAACAAACTGGAACCATTACGTTTATCTGTCATATAAGTGAGGTTAGAACTAGACTAGCAGGTTGTACATAGAGTTAGAGACATTTTATCCAGCCACTGCCCATGAGGGAGGAGTCCTATAATGCTTTACTTGACTCTGTTTACACTATAAGCACTACCATTGCCTCTTCAACAAAACCAACAGAAAACCAAATGCTACAGCTGAAGTTTTATGCTTTCAAGAAAGAGAGAGAAATAACATTTTCTCTTGTTGCATCCACTTAAGAGGAGTTTGACTCCTCTCCTTAGCTATGTTCTGAAATTTGATGTAGGTAACAATTTTCGAAAACCTTCTACTTGTGCAACACTTTATAATTCACAGACAACTTTAACACAGATATCATTTGTTGATGAGAAGAATAGGTGGGAAAGTGGTAAGTGAGGACCTGGTAAAATGCTTGTGGACGAAGGAAGAAGAGGCCAGGAGGAGGAGCAGCAGTCCTGAACATACTGTTACAGAAACAATACTGCACTGAATGAGCCTCACCCTATTCCAAGGACCCAGATTCCCAACTTCCCTATGGGACTCCAGAAATCTCTTTAAGGAGCTATGCTGTCCAGTTTGATGAAGGAAGCAACACACGCTTCATGTTGGGTTCTCATACTGCCTGCTGTTTGGAAAGAAGAAGGGGATTATCATCCCTTCGACTTTTGTATCCCAAACCCATCATCAACTGCCTATCTTTTTTTTTTTTAAACAACTATCTACCATTTTTCTTGGACCGAGTATCCTAAAGCAATGAGACTTCCTAGAACTACCATTCAGTCCTTCATTCCAAATGGCTGAGCTACATTCTGACAAAATTCAAGTCCCCCCAAAGAATTGATCCAGGTCCTCTGAAAGAATCACAAACGTTTATTTTACATACCTCAACCTGCTGGCAGATCTGTATTAGCTTGGCCATTTGATTTTCTAGTTCACTGTTACGCTTAACCAGGTTGGTTAGGTTCATCTCCAGAGTTTGCTGCCATTGTAGAAGGTGAAGCCAGGGGAAAAAGGAAGAGGGGAAAAAAAGAACATTCAATGAGCTTGAGAACCAAAAGCCTGTGGAGATCAGTCAGTCAGTAGACAAATATTTCAAAGATTCATTGGGCATTTGTTATGGGCTAAGCACTCTTCTGGGTGCCACTTAATAATGCTGTACATTTATTTGCTCCAGACTATCACTGTTAGGGAAAAGCTGACAGTCATGACTTCGTACATATAGAACTTTAATGACATTATGTTTTCAATAATACTTTTAACTTTTTAAAGTATTTCACAGTAAATACCACCTTTTGCCCTCACAGTAACCCTGTGACATAGGGAGAACAGGTACTATTCTCTCTTTTACAGATAAGCAGACTAAGAAAACTATTAATTCATTAAATAATTACTACTTGTCAGACACGATGCTCAACAATTTCACATAAATCTTTGAATAATCATGACAACCCATGAAGTTGATGTCAGCATTGTACAGGTGAGGAACTGGGCTTGAGAGTGGGGGTAAAGTGTTTTGCACAGTCATATAATTACAATAGTATGTGGCAAAGCTAGGACTGGAACCCAGTCTCTAGCCTTCAGTCACAGCTTTACCCCAGTATTTCATTTTTTTGGTCTTTTTGTTGATAACCTTTCATATTTATCAGTAGGTTCCTTCAGGAAAAAAGGTGATATTTTAAGTGTGGGATTCGTAAAAATCTAGCATCATATCTCACAGTTTCCTTTCTTTGGCACTTAGGAGATGCCAGACTTCAAAAGGCAAAGCCTGGCTGTATCGAGATAGGACATCCATTGCTTACCACTGCTTACTGTTATATAAATCCTTTTAGGTACATATTAGAAGCACTTTGCAAATACGTTTAATATAAGATAGTTACAACAGTACTCAGAACTCTTAGCATATTTTCAGTTAAGCAAGCTACTCTCTCCCACATTCCTTACGTGAAGAAAATAGAATGTGATTCATTCTAGACTGATAATGTTTTTTTTTTAAATTCATCCCCATTCCCGAGTCTTCAGCTCTGGTGGCTGCTTCTACCTCAGGACCTGCCCCAATATCCACTCCTCTCTCACTCACCATCCCAATACCTTTCCGCCAAAGTCTGTTCCAAATGTAATACCCCAACTTCCTGCCTCTTATTCTGCAAGGATTCCTTCCCTCAGTCGTGTCCGTTGCTTCACTGCTGTCTTCACGTTTTCTATGGTTTGTAGTTGTTCAAAGTTCATGTTTTTTTGGCAGGGGGAATGGAGGGCAAGGAGAAGTGGGGGGAGGTGAGAGGACTCATGTACTTTGCCCCTTGTCTACTAAGTAGCTGTGGTTCCTTAGTATCCTTGGCACTGTCCCATGCATCTATCCCAAAGGATGTATCCCCATGGATGTATGTATTTCTAGGATGGGCAGTCTGAGCTCACTTGTCCTCACACTGGATTATGAGAACCAGCTGAATCTTTGCTTCCCTGTTTGCCAGATCTCTCTTGGTCTCTTTGGCTTTGTTCCCCTGGAAGTGATTTTTCACCATTTATTCCATTTTTCACGGCATGGGTACAGTGTCTCCCCTGGCCTTCTTTAATTCCATGACCATCTCAACTGTGGCCTTCTCCTTAGCAAGGACAGAGAGGGAAGAAGGAAAAAAGAAGGGCGGCAGTCATTGATTTGGACATGATCTCTAAGTTAAGTAGATGTCAGCGGGGGGGGGGAAAGGAAATGGCGGTTAAGAGATTTAATACAACAAAAGGTATTGAGCACCTACTGTGTTCAAAGTGCAGTGCTTTCAGGGTTAAAGAGGAAGTGAAATTAAGATGGTTCTTGATGGATAAGTAGGGTTTTGACAGACAGAGATAGAGGGCAGGGTGTTCCAGGCACAAGGAATAGCATAAGCAAAAGTACAATGGAATAAAGTATAGGACTTGTTCAGGGAAGAGAAATTGGGTTTGGCTAGAACAAAAGGTACAAGAGAGTCGTGGGGGACAAGGCTGGAAATGGAGGTCAGAGCTCGGTTATGAAGGTCTTGAATGCCTAGGTGAGGAGTTTGTGCCTATTTTTTAAATAGTGGGGACTTACCAAAAGCTTTTGAGCAAGATAATGGTACATTAAGGGCTGCATTTATGAGATCAACCTACCGGTAATATGTGGGGCAGACTGAAACAGGAGAGCCTGGGACAGGGACATCGGTTAGGAAGAGGCTGCAGTATTCAAGGCAAACGGTTGGGAATGCAGGTCTGGGCCAAGCTAAGATGGTAATTGAGAGAAACATGTTTTCAAGAAAGGATTTGTTGCTGTCAAATATGCAGAGAGTGCAAGAAATATGAGGGCTGATAAAAGGCAGCTGGATTGGGTAATTAGAGGTCACTGGTGGCCTTTGAAAAAGGAGCTTCAGTAGAGTTTTGGAAGCAGATGCCAAACTGTACAGGATTAAGAAGTATAGCGGTGATGATGAAGTGGAGGCTACAAGTCTGAACTCCCCTTAAAAAGTCTGACCATAAGATGAGTATGATTGAGCTGTGGTTTGATTAAAGGGTCCAGCTTAAGTTAGAGAGTGAGCACTGGTAATGGACCCAATCAGTTTGTGATTTCCTCTATCAGAGTGGTCAAGATTCCTAGATCAATGGAAACCCCGTGTATCACAAATGGCTATACTGACATATTAGGTCATCAGAATGTAGACCGATGAACTCAGAGCAGATGTGATATCAGAAATCTGTGTTTCAAATTGTAATGTGTTTCCATTCAAACATAGGATGTCATGGGAAGAATGTTTTCTAACAAATACATGCAACCTGTTGCAACACTTTCCATGAAACTGATATCTTATAAATAATTCATAGTGCAGAGCAGGACTAAGATCCGTGCTGTGTGTTCCTCATTTATGGCCCAGAACTGAGACTCACAGCTCCTGTAAAGCCACTGAATACAAAAATTAGGGCTGAACACATAATTTGGGGTCTGGTTAGACTATGGACCTTGGGTTACCATCACAAAATTATGGCAAATGGTTATCTGCTGTGTCGCCTCGGCAATCTGCAGAATGCCAGCACATTTTAACAACACACAACTAGAACTGACAAGAGGACTCTAATTTCGACCTTACTTCATTAGTGTGAAAATGCTTTGAAAAATAAATCTTTGGCTAATAAAAACACCATCTGTTGATGGCTTTTTGCCACTGTTTTCTTGCATTACGAGACATAATTTGAGGACAACACTGAGCATTTACTTACTAACTTCCTATTCATTTACAAGGAATTAAAGCCTTGATTCTGGAATTGATTCTCAATAAGGAACATATGCATGGGGAAGTCGAGAACTGAAGCAATTATGCAGTCTATTTCCTCACCCTTCATTCTCACGCTTAGCACTGATGAATCATTTAGAACTAGAAATTCTGGGCCAGTCTAGGTTTCCCTGATTTGGCCATAATTATCTTGTCTATATCCTGGCTGAGTAAATAAATAGAATATGTGTATGTGTACATGTATCTACGTGCGTGTGTGTGTGTGTATAAAACCTCGTGTTAAACTAAACATGTCTCTTTATTGTTGTGTTGTTTTTGTTTGGTTTTGAAAAATTGGTTTGTTTTGTTCTTCTCTTGTGCAGTCCAGTTAATGACCGGGCCAGGTTCCCTCTGTCCAAGCCTGATTAGTACAGCTTTCTCAGAACAGTTGAACTGTGACAGTGAGAGAGAGCCAAAGTGGCAGGGGAGATTGGAATGGAGATATCTGCTGGGAGGAAACGGGGACAGGAGGTTGGCAGGGGGCGCAGGATGAAGCTCCCATTTCCTGCTGCAGGAGGTTACCTCTGGGTCCTCCTGGGCTTCCTCTATGTGAGGATTAGAGAAGCCCTTGGAGCTACGGAACTATGAGGCCCTCTTCACCTCACATCATTAGCGCTTTCACAAAATTGTACATGTGTCTAAACAGCACAAAGTGAGGGGGAGATTTGATTTATTTGCATAATTGAGATTTTTAAAAGCTCAAGTTAGCTAAATTGGCAGTCTACACTGATACCATTTTTAACCAAGTTCCACTTCATTTGTGTCACATAGGCTTTGTCTCTCTGTCTTCTTTTATACCCTTCCCAAAGAGAAAAATGTTATGCCAGCTCTGAGAAAGCCAGGCACAGACTATTCTTCTTCCAGACAGCATCCCATAAAAAGAAATGGCTTCTCTAAACCTCTCAAGTAATTGCTGTTTTCTGGGGATTTTTGTGGGGTTTTTTTATTTGTGTTGTTGTTGTTGTTTTAACTTCTCTAGACACAGGTTATTTCAGGTAACTTTCTAACTGGCTCCTTCAAGAGACCTAGCTATACATCAAAACACCAGCTCTTCATTAAAGCCAGAGAGATTCCCCTGGTGGTACTCACTTGACCATGATCTCCATTTGTCATGCTCCATGAAGGCACATGTAGTCACACAATATGAGCACACTTACAGACACCTACCTGAAACAGCAAACCTTGAAGCCAAAAAATGGGTGGAGCTTTCTGTCTGTTCTATTCAAGGATGCAGCATTGCCACCAAATGTCTATATACTCTCTTGCTTTCTAAAAGGTACAAGGGGGGCATTATCTAAACCTACACATGATCCTGACTGTTTTGATGTGGGAATTGAATCTTGGGGTGCAAAGGGAGAAGGGAAGTAAAGAAAGGCTAACCCATCCCAAACCTGATCTTTCTGAATTGACAGAAGACAACTTCATCTTTAAAGATAAACTGAGCCAGGGACCCCATTACTATTCCTCGACATGCTCTTTTCTGACATCCTGTTGACTCACTGACATTCCCAGCTCTTCTAAAAGTCAGGAGCCAAAATCTTAGCATACTTTTTTTTGGGGGGAGGTCACATTCTGCCTCCTTTTTTTAACTGCTTGTCTTAAAATACTTACTTTGCTTTTGCTTCAGTCTGTCACTTTGTGTCAATTACATATGGCCCTTCAACAGCAGAACACACCATCTGTTCCACAAACTAAAGCCTACACCCTT